TTCTGACCTGGGCCTGGAACCTCCAAAAATGTCTGAGGGACATTTTGAGTTCCAACACCGTGCCGCCCCTGGGGAAAAACTGGCAGGTGCTGTTTTGATTTCCTTCTTAACTGTGCTATCACAGAGGTGTTACCAACCTCTCAACTGGGCCAGCAGCATGTCCATCTTCAGAGCCATCGGAGACTGGCTCTGTCACACATGGTGGAAGTTTCTATCAGCTTCTCACAGAAGCTACTCCTGTGGCCCCCTGCTACCAAAAACCAGGCTGTGCCAAACCAACACACAGTATTAAAAGATTTAAAATTGGATTTTCCATGGAAAAGCCCCACTGAAGCTCCACAGCTTTCATTAGATTTTAACTCTATTAACCATTCTAACCCAGGAATGAGTTTTCATGAGCATTGATCCCAACTGGCATCCATCCATGAAACTTCCTGCAAAATATAAAATATTATCCTACCATTTTTTAATAAATAAAGGAAATACAAACACCATCAGTGTAACAGGGAACTACCACACTCATAAATCCTTACGAGACAGAGAAATTTAATCTAGGAAACCACTGGATGGAATGAGGGTCTGCACTTCCCAAGGGCAGCGTTTGCCAGATACCTGAGCCAGGAGCAATCCACCTCCTTTTAGACATCCAGGGAGCCACCACTAGCAGCAAAATTATAACACTGCTCTCCCTCTGTGCCTGTGCCCACACCCAGACCCTCAGCAGCACCAGCAAAACTGAGATATTCCAGTGCAGACTGGGAAGGCTCCACAGAGACCTACTGGATTTCCTATGTGATTTCCTGCTGGAAGAACGGCCTGTTTCTGTAAATTTATCACTGAATTGCTCATCTCATTATTGCACATCTCATAACGGCATCTCAGATTCTGGAGCAAACTTTGGAAAAAGTTGTGACTCTCCTGAAAAATTGTTAAATAAGAAATGTAATGTTTTTCTGAATCAAGTATGCACTATCCTGACTTTTTTTCTTGAAGAAAGGGAAAGTTGTATAACAGATGAGAATGGATTAGTTAGTCTAAAAAGCCAAAGCTGTTCACTAAACATTGGCCTGACAGATACACTAGAAAGAAGGGCAGAAAAAAATATGTATAGAGAAAGCCAGACAGATTGACAGAAATTTGTGTCTTAAAATAGCAGTATTCACATGAGACACACTTCATTATGTGGACCCTGTAAGTCAGAAGAATGTGTATTGAAAATAAATGAATTCTATCCTTCAATTGTCATGACCACTGGCAATAAATAGACACCTGATGAGGCAGAGCAGGCACAAGAGAAAAGTTTGTGGTAGCTGAAATGATTGGATGTATGAGGAAGCACAGCCCAACTCTGCTTTTAGCAAATGACCCAACTGAGGAATGCAGTACCACCCAGAAACCCAGAACAGCTCCCAGAGCCATGGTCGGGCTGTGCTGGTCAGGGCTGTGCTGCTGGAGAGCATTTCTCAGCAAGGAGGGACTGAGGGATCCCATTCCCCTGCTGCTCACATTCCCAGGATCCACTTCCAGCATCCCATCTCTCACTCCATGTTTGCCCCATGGGCTGAAAGGGTTTTCAGAGGTTTTCTTCCCGTTGCCCCCCATATTTGCTGGGCCACACACAAAATTCTCCTGCAAGTGTCCCCTTCAACTGCCCAGCATCATCCCAGGCTGGAACAGTGAAGGCCACGGGCCACACCAGGAGCCCTGGGAAAATGGCTTTGCCCCACACAGCCACAGGGACTCCCAGAACATCACAGTGGTGTGGAGAGGGCTGAGGAGCCCAAGCTCAGCAGCAGTGGGATGGAAGACCTTGATGTCACGTCGAGCAGCAGGAGCACAGCTCCTTCAGGTAAATGCCATCTGCGAGGTCAGTTCCAACCAGGACTGCCTGGGGGGAGCAATGCAGAAAACAAGGAGGGGATTTCCTTGGCTGCTGCTATACAGGCTTTCCTCCTCCACATACTCCACTTTGCTAAAGCATGTTCTGCCAATTTTCTCTCCTTCACTGGCTTTGCCTACAGCAGAGCTCTGCATTATCTTCTCTGCTGTTCTGTGTGTGGCAATGCCAGTGCAGGATCAGCACATCCTGCTAAAACTCGGCTGTTCCCTTTGGGGTATTTCTGCACAAAAGCTGTGGTTACTCACTCCAGTGAGCAGACCTTAATACGGGAAATGTTGTCTGAGAGGTATTAGGGGGAGAAGGAACAGGAAGTGTAGGGAAAACACAGCTCAAGTCCTGTTATTAAAGCAGTGACAGAGGATTTAAGCAGGGCAGTGGAGGAGGAAGGAGGATAAAGTTAAGTGTTTTCAAAGTGCCAAGATGCTGCCGTTTCAGCTCCTGCTCTCCATGCAGCAGCAGCAGCAGCACTGTGGGCTTTATTCGAGGACACCCTGCACACAAAACCCCCATGCACCAGAGGACAGGGCTGACCAGAGGCAGCTCAGCACTGACTCCTCCAGCAGCGCCTCATTGCAGAGTTCCTGTTTGGGGCAGCCCTCTGCTGCAAAGCTCCTGCCTCCTCTGCTCTCAGCTGCCAGAATTTGGGGAGTGTATATAAAACCCTCATAGTTCTTCACCTAATGACATATTGCAGAACTGCCCTGGGATTTACACCCTGTTTCCCTTCAGGAAACAAATCAAGTTTCAGTGATGTCTCTTCTCCAGCAGGTACTGCAGCAGGATGGATGTGCTGTCATTGAGCCCATGTGCAGCTGCAACAGGTTGGTGGTGATTAAATGCAAAATTCATCCAGGACATGAGGTTCTGATTCAGCCTGGAGGCAGCTCACAGACCTTTACAGCATTCTCCCTGTGGAAACACCTACTCATCCTTCAAACAGACACTTTTTCCTGCCTTTTATCTGAGAGGTAAAATCTGGAAGAAAAACAGGGTTGTTGAGTGCTACTTCCTGGATTTCCATAGCCTGGGGGATTACCTGGAGTCAATGAGATTGAAGCCTGCCTCTGTGAGACGCGATGTTGCCTTCTGGCTCAGGTAGGAACTGCTTTGCAGAAGCAGAATGGGCTGAAGTATAGCACTCAATCTCTCACTTTGACAAGGGCAAGCACTGTCACTCCGTAATATCCTGTCTTTTTCTAGCTTGCCCTGATCTGTTTTAACAGAGCATTTATTTGGCAGATGGGGAATGTTTGTCTTGAACTACAGTATCCCCCATGTGAAATAAAAATTAAAATCATTGTTTCAGAAGCAATTCTCTCAAAAACTCAATAGCTACAGGTGACACCATGCTGGGTCCCAGGGGGGCTGCCAAGAGCTCCTGTCTTCTGCTTTTTAAAGTACTTTTTTAACCCTGCCAGGTGCTTTGAAACTGCTGGTTGCTCCCTGGCTTTGAGGTTTTTACTTTTGGCTAGTTCTTATTTCATTCTTGGCAAGTCCACAGGCAGAATAGCTCCAACTCCCCTCACTCCCCTCCCTACAGTCCAAGAGAGGTCTGTCCATCCTCGTGGGATCTGACCTCACTTCCTGACCCTTCTGTCCCCTGGACAGTTGCATCTGTTTCTCCCTTTTTATCCCATTCTCCAGGCTTGCTCATGCATGGCTTTTCCTTAGCAAGCTCCTCTCCTTGGAACTTGGTTGATGCCTTCCTACAGCTTGGATGACCCAACCCCTGCTCAGACCTGCCCAGGGAGCAGAAACAAGGGAACGTTTTGCCTGAATATCCAGTTTAAAAATAGACACAGCATCCGAGATATGCACAGGTAATAACTGAGGCATGAAATTCTATGTTCCTGCTCAGAGGTGTAAAGCAAGCACAGTCCAGGAGATGACAATGACTTTGAAGCTGGAGTCAGTTGGACTCATTTGTTTAGAGATTCAACGCAGCACAGACAGAAAATATTCCCTTCTCCCAAAACCAAAGATTCTGCTGATGAACCAGGGGATCACAAAACCTGCCCAGGACCTGCTCTCTGCAGGACATACCATAATTAACAGAACAAGCAGAAGCAGTCCCAAGAAATAACCACCTGAAACCTGTAACATTCCTGACTCCAGGATCACAGAGCCAAGGCACTGCCCAGCACGGCCTGAGAGCACAGTGAGACTTAGGCCAGACCCCAGCATCCCCCAGCTCAGCCAGGATGGGGCTCAGCCCCCTCTGCAGCCCCCTGCCCAGTCCCCTCACCTGCTCCAGCAGCACAGAGGGGCATCACTTCATCCAACCTCCTAGTCATTTTTATTTTACACTGACACATTGACCACCATAGCACCCAGGCCAGCCTGCACTGCCACCAGGGTGCCAGCCAGAAGCTGGAAACTCAGCAGCAGCTACTTCCCTCGGGATGCTCAAGTGCCCAGCTCACTCCACCTCCCCGCCCCCCGCTCCACGTCTCAGAGCAGACGGGATCAGAGCTCAGCCTCTCAGTTGCTTTTTCTCTCCTCTTTCTCCTGCTCTAACACAGCACAGGAAGGACAGCAACAGGCAGATACCCAGCTGCTACCCACACTATGCAGCAAACCAGGATTTATGAGCCATGAACACCAGGAACAAGAAGAAAAATTTCCCCTTCCAGAGTTCCAGAAACACTGCAAACACCTGGAGAAATTCAGCTGGACACTGCTCAGACCAGCCCCAAGCACCTGCCCTTCTTGTTGGCTCTGTCTACCCCTCTCTGCTTCCTTCAGCTGGCTGACATCCACTGGCCATGGCAAGAGACCCTCAGGCCCCCTGTGATGCTCAGCAGCATCCATCTGACCCTGAGCAAACACTGAGAGCTGTGGGCCTCACGCAGGTGTAGGCTGGACCTGCTACAAACTCTTTGCAGGTCTGGCCCCACAAAAACCCCATTAGGACTCCAACAAACAAACTTCAGCTCAACAGGCTTCCTCCTGCTCCTCCTCTGCCACGCCAGAGCCTGGCAGCCACCGTCTCACCACACTGGACCCACACAGCTTGGCCAGTGACCTCCAGGGCTGTCCTGGTCCTGCAACACCGCGGTGACATGCCCAGAGAAGAGAAAAGCAGAGTGTTCATACTCACAGTTTTGAAGTCCTTGTGGCTGCACTCCTGGCCTCTGAACTTGCAGTACAGCATCATATCCTTCAGGTCATGGCCAACCCGTGCCAGGAACTCTTGCATGCTAAAAACTTTGGGTTTATACTGCTTAAAGTTGGCCTTTTCTTGGAGGGTGGCTAAAACAGCAGGGTCAGCCAGGTGAGGGTTGGGGATCTGCAGGTTGACATCCAGCAGAGACAGGAGCTCCCCAGCATGGTACAGGTCATTGGTGGTGAGCCGGGAGAAGCGGAACTCGTTGAGGTTACAGATGGTGACAGCGGGAAACACCAGGCTGTTTGCCACCACCTCGTCCACTTTGGTCACATGCTGGTAGGAGAAGTAAAAGGCCACCCTGTCCGAGCTCTCCACCAGGAGGAGACCCAGCGAGCCCACAAAGGCCAAGGTCCAGAGCAGGCGCCGGATGGTGACCGGCCCGTAGACAAAGACATGACGGATCCCATGGAGCGTGGTGGTGTTGGCAAAAATCTGGATGCTGGAAGGCTGCAGGCTGTCCATGCTGCCCTCGCTGGTGCTGTCCTTCAGATCCATAGTTCATTTAAATCCTGGTCCTGCTTTTTGGGTCAGTCTGGAGGCAGAACTGGGATCTGGATCTCTCCCTCTCCTCTCCAAAGTAATTAAACCCTTTCAGGAGCAGCCGAAGGAAGCAGAGTGAGACCAGCTGCTGCGAGTTTATCCCACAAGCTCAGCAGTAGCTTCGTCAGGATAAATATTTATATAAAATCCATTCAAACTCTTGCTCTTGATTTCCTCGGTGCGATAAGGAGGGCTGGTTTTATTTAGGGAGACACCAAGGTGATGTGGAAAAGATGTGGGTGGGCAGCGAAAGCTGAGCCAATGGCAATAAAGTCCTCCCCCTGCACACACACACACACACACACACACACAGACACACACACAGACACACACACACGAGCACGCACACACACACACAAGCACACACGCGCCGAGGGGAGCTGAGATTAAGCGAGCGAGCCTAAAACAAGCGGAGGCAGCTCGCAGGCTGGCAACTAGTGCGGAAAGCCGAGGATGCTGCTTCCCCCATGTCTCCAGCCCGACCGGGAGATGCTCCCCGAACTCTGGGGATGCGACTGCAGGATTTAGGCATCTCTCCTCCCCCTCCACCTCTCCATTTTGGGCAGAAAACACCACCCCGAAAACCGAGCCTGTGCTGTCGGTGTGATTTGCAAGGGAAATGTGGGCAGCTAATTCAGCGGGAGAAATAGGCGAACAAAAGGGAGAGGGAAAAGGAAAGGCTAAAAAATAAAAGGAAAGGCTGAAAGATAAAAGAAAAGGGGATTGCTGCTCAGCTCCATGCACGCACACACGCTTGTCTTTCACACGGCAGCTCCGAGCAAAACCCAGTCAGGGCAAAACCCGGCAGCGGCAGCGGAGGGGCTGTAGCATCTCTCATCTCTCTGTCCGTCTCAGAGCTTTGCCACCCTGCAGGAGTTTCGGGAGAAGCGCTGCGAGCCGCAGTCACACACGGATCCCGATCCCCGCGGCAGCGCAGGGACAGCGGCTGCGAGCCCAGAGCCGCGCCGGGCCGGGCTGAGCACAGTGAGCCCGGCCGGGGCCGTGCCTGGCGGGGCCGGGGCCGTGCCTGGCGGGGCCGGGGCTGTGCCCGCAGCTCCTGAGCCCCCGGCAGCCCCCTGAGCCCCCGGCAGCCCCCCGAGGCTCGGGAGCCTCCGAACCAGCAGCGTCTCCAGATGTTTTGTTTTCCGCCGGAAGACAGCTGTGGCGGGTGTGTTTGGGGAAGGCGCTCCCAGATGTGCGCTCAGCCGGGAGCTTGGGAAGGAGGGGGTGGAGGGGAGGAAAACTGGGTTTTCTACCCAGGAGATGCTGCAGGTCCTGTGACGGTGCCTCGGTGCATGCGTGGTGCGGCTGCGGGAGTGGGAATGAGGGGGATCCACGCCAGAGGTGTGAGGGGCTGGGTCTGAGCAGGGTCGGAGTAACTCCCTTCCATATCGGCTCCACGAACAGCAGGGGTTTTGCTCGCTTTTTTTTCAGATCCATTACTAAACCCCAGGATTTCTGTCTGTACAGCACCCAGCCCTACAGCAGGTGAGGGTCCCAGGGCATGGAAGCACCCGGAACGTGATTCTCCCAGTTGGAATGAGGCAGGAGCAGAGGGTTGAAGCACAGGCAGAGCCTGTCATGATCTGCAGGGCAATGCCTCATGACTCTCAGCCACCTTTAACGATTAAATGAGCCCAGTTTCTGGATGTACAACCCTGAGTGCTGTTATCATGACAACAGACCATGTACACCATTTGGCACCTTCACCTTTCAGGTGCTTGATTTCACTGATAGACCCCCAAGACTCTTGTCCCCGGGCTGTGAGCCACCCTGTCCTCACCCTGTCCTCCCTCTGGCGATTTTCACCCAGACATAATTTCAGCTTTGCTGTCTACACATTTGGCCTTGGAAGCCAAAGGCAAGCGGAGCTGTGGCATCCCCCAGCATGGTTGTTCCTACGGGAATATCTCTCAGCCTGAGCTACCCGTACCAGCCCTACAACACTACTTTCTCCATTTTACACCAGGGAATCTGAGGAAAAGAGGGGACAAAGGACTTGGGAGCCGCGAGCTGGTTTTCCCAGGAGGACTTTTCATACCGGGCTGCTGCCCTGAAGCTGAAGCCTCCTTCCATAGCCAGAAGGCTCCAGGCACCCTGTTGTCATGAATGGCTGGGGTTCAGAAGGAGCAGGAGCTGCCTCCAGAGTCCGGTTTCCTCTTGGACAAATCTACATCAGCCCTGAAATGCAAAATGTGGTCCCTCCTCCTGTGCCTGTGAGTGAAACCAGGCTCTCAATACAGTCCATTGGTGGCTAAACAGAGCTGTGTTCCTTCTGCATTACACAGAAATTCAGACAAAGACAGATGCACAAATCTCCTGCACCTTGTGGTGCCCTTTCCAGGAGGGTGGAGAAGGCAGAGCTGAGCACACCCAAACAAGCTATGGCCCAGAATTAAAGCAGCAGAGTGACCACAGCACCCTTACTCCTGGCTCCAGACCTCACTGCAGGTCTCCCCTTGTGCTCATCACCCTTGCATAGTCAGGGACAAGACCCTTCCCCTCTAAAAAATCCCTGGCCGGAATGGGCTCCCTTTGCTACCCATTCCCAGCCCATCTGCAAAGCCCCCTCCCTTCCCGGTGCCTGCACCGGCCGGTGGAGTGTTAATGCTTTCATTTGTTCCCCGTTAATGCTTTCATTTGTTCCCCATTAATGCTTTCATTTGTTCCCCGTTAATGCTTTCATTTGCTCCCCGCTCGTGCTGCCTTTGCAGTCCCATTTGCTGTAATTCACACCATAAAACATCTGCTGCCTGTTATTGTTGAACTGTGCGGGGAGCTTTGGCTGCAGCCTGGAGGGAACAGCCCAGTGCCCAGCAGAGCTGCCTGGCACCGGCTCCGGCTCTGCTCTGTTGCCCATGGGGATGGGAACACACCAGGGAGACAAATCACGGAATCATGGAATGGTTTGGGTTGGAAGAGATCATCTTCTCCCACCCCCTGCCATGGCAGGGACACCTTCACTATCCCAGGCTGCTCCCAGCCCTGTCCAGCCTGGCCTTGGGCACTGCCAGGGCTCCAGGGGCACCACAGCTGCTCTGGGCACTGTCCCACTCTGGTGAGGGCTGGTGGCTCAGGCTGTGCCCAAGAACTGCCATCAGCTACGATGTCCTGGGAGCCAAGAAAAGATGTGGCTGGGGATGGGCTGTGGGGTAACACCAGCAAGGGTGAGGGACATGGGAAGCAAGGGCTGGTGAGGGCTGATGGCCCCTCCGGCCACCCATGTGAACAACGCCTCTAAGGGGACACACAAGGGGAAGACAAGGCAGCCTGGCTGGTCCCATAAACCCCCCGAGATGGCAGAGCCCAGCTAAGGACACCTCCACTACGGAATGCCCAGGAATGTGGAGCATCCCTGGCAGGTGGAGGAGCTGCTTTGGGAGCTCATAGTCTCAGCCCCTGGATGTTCCTCGCACAACATGCTGCTTCAAGTCTGCTTCAGCAAACGAGCCAGGCAGGGCCAGAAGACGTATCCCTGAGGAAAATCCCGTTTCTCGGCCCTTTGCAGAAATGGAGGGAAGTGGAGAGGGCCAGGTTGGCTGGGAAGAGGGCAGGCACAGTTTGTGCAAAGGAGAGAGGCTCTGCACAGTCTGTGCCTGCCCTCTTGTGTCTCCAGCATTTGCTGCAGTGCTCGGGATCCCACCCTGAAACACTGAAAAATGCCTCTATTCGAGGAAGACAAAGGGATGAAGAAGGGTCCCGACCTGTGTGAGCCCCTCTGCTTCCACAGCCCCACCTGAGCCCTCCTGGGAGCACAGCCCAGGCAAAGAGTTTGCCATGAGAAAAGCAGGACTGTCCTCACAGACACAGCAGTGGGATGCTTTACAAAGAAAATGAGATGCTTTGGTCCCCCATGTGGCTCAGTACATGGTCCCCATGGCCCTGAGCCAGAGCCATCTCCTTAACCCTGGAAATCCCTGTGTTTTCTGCCAGTTCATTTTTTTTGATGTTCCCCTCTGAGCTTGAAGAGAAAGAGGATTAAAAAAACCCAAACAAACCACAAGCAACCAAAAAACCGATGATGGCTGCAGTCCAGAGAAGAGATTTGTCTGACCATCACAGATCATTTTGATTGGAAAAGTCCTCTGAGCCCATTGAGTACAACGGAGTTGATCCAGCACTGCAAAGCCACCACTGACCATCTCCCAAAGTGCCACATCCTCAGAGCTTTTACACCCCTCCACTCGGGGATTCCACCCTGGGACTCCACCCAGCCATGGGCGGCTGTACACCCCTTTCCATGAAGAAATTTTCCCTAATATCCAACTAAACCTCCCCTGGCCCAGCCTGGGGCCGTTCCCTCTCCTCCTGTCCCTGTTCCTGGAGCAGAGTCCAAACCCCCGGCTGTCCCCTCCTGGCAGGAGCTGTGCAGAGCCAGAAGGGTCCCCTGAGCCTCCTTTTCTCCAGGCTGAGCCCCTTCCCAGCTCCCTCAGCCCCTTCCCAGCTCCTTCAGCCCCTTCCCACTCCCTCAGCCCCTTCCCAGCTCCCTCAGCCCCCTCCAGATCCTTCCCTGGCCCAGCTGCAGATCATTCTCTGGTTGCATTGAGCACAGGGAAATGTCCCATCAATGTCCCACCGGGATTTCCCAGGGTGCTGCTTTTGCTGTGGGCTTTGAAGGCAGAAAGGGTAGCAGGCATTTGGAAGGGAAGCCAGGGAGCATTGGGCCAACAACAATCACTCCTGGAAGAAGGACTTTGGTTAAGTTAATAGTGATCTGTAACTCCCCCTCCATTTCTCAGGCTTTCCCCAATCTTTTTGGACTCTCTTGACACTTAAATTTTTACTGCCAGTGTCTTCAAAGTGTGGACACAGAGCTCCTGTGAGCAGAGAGGGCTCAGCTACTTAAAGGAGTCCACCTTTCTAAACAGGAACATAATGTTGAATGTTGATGTTTTCCCTGAAATTAAATCTGATCACCTCCAAGGTAGCTTTGGCTCAGTTAAACAACTTTTTAACATATAGAGAAAATTGAAATTTTTATTTCAGTCCATTTAATATTGTGCTTGGATTTATAATGGGGTATAAAATTAAAACAATGAAAGCAATTGAAAAGAAAAATAATTCTTGAAAGAAAACAAACAATATTCAAATGGCTGCATGAAATGCCTTCTAAGGAAAGGTCATAGAATCCCAGACTGGTTTGGGTTGGAAAGGACCTTAAACCCTCCCAATGCCACCACTTGCCATGGGCAGGGATACCTTCCACTATCCCAGGGTGCTCCAAGCCCTGTCCAGCCTGGCCTTGGACACTT